CCATTTTACCTCTCATGTGGAGTTACACGCATGCAGGGAGCCACTCACATCATGCTGTTTGCACGCCTGTATCAGCTGCAGGAGCAGCCAGCTGAGCTCTGCTGCATTGGTGCTGTGGTGGGAGAAAGCAAGATGCCAGTCGGCTCTGGAGGCTGCATGGGGGCACCTGAGTAAGGAAGTCTTGCTGGATCAAACCAACTTCATGCAGAGGCAATGAGAGGGATGACTGCACACAATGACTGGTTTACAGTGAATCAGCAAACCAGCTTGAGGTGTTGAGTACTTGACTGTAGAAATTTTGAAGTGGCTAGTTCTGATAGGGCAGATAGGGCACTCCATGTCATTCAACTCTAAGAGAAAGTGAAACTTTTTGAGATTCTGCCATGGTATCTCTGCTTACGTGATGGGGATGTACAATTAATGTACAGGAAAACTGAAGGGATGTGCAATTGGAAAGAAATATAGCTAAAGATAGTAGGTGACTTATTCTTTCATCCTAGCACACCAAGGGTTTAGTCCATGTATGGTATTCCTTTTCTATTAACAACCTAAATTTTTTAAAGTAATTTTGAAATGTCTTTCTCAGCCCTTAAAAATGCTTATTTTATCAAAAAGTCAAATATTTCTCATAGGATGTTTAAATATTATGCCATAAAATCTTTATATCTATACTGAACCAAATGGATTGTTTTTCCTGCTCACCATCCTTGCCTGAGACACCTCTGGTGGACTTCCTTGCTTCTGTATTAGCTCACAGGGCTTGGGAGCAGCATGCTTAATCAGCAGAAGGTTAGTCACTGCGGTTGAGGGCAGCCCAAAGCACAGCAAACACATCGAGGCACACAAGAGGAACAGTAAATGATTCCCTACTTATGTAAGTGCCTACTAGACAGACTTCCCGTTGAAAATGCTGGCATCAACAGCATTAGCATGTGGCTAAAGAATGTGTCTTTTTAAGGAGATTGATGGGATTTGTGGTAAGGCTACAGCCCACTGTGGCGCGGAGAGCTGAGACCCCCGCTAACCTGGCTGGGGAGCCCACAGCTGTAGTACCATGTTTCTCTTGTCTCTCCATCAGTGAAACTATTTTTAACAAGGGATGATTTTTAAGACTGAGCATAGCAATGGACAGTCTGTGCTTCTTGGACCTGAGTTGGCACACAGGGACATTACTTTTGGCTTCAGGGTCAGCATGAGTGGGGCCAGCTCAGGTATCTCCGATGTAATGTACAGGTCTAAGTCCTCAGACTTGTCCCCTGCATTCATAGTCTACATAGGGCTGTTGAGATGCTGTCCTCTGGATGACAGGGCCCAGCTGTTGTCTCAGCAAGACATGAGGTCAGCATCTCTTACAAATAAGAGAAGATGCACCCAATATTTTTTTAAATATTCCTACTCCTATTAAAAGCCAAATCTTGTAGCATTACTCAGATGAAAAAGCACATTTTGATTCCTGGCTATGAACTAATTAAGAAACACAAGACCTACCCCTCTTAGAGGGAATGTTGCCCCAGGGCATTCCTTTCCTCTTTTCCAATGCCCAGGGCTGTAGCTGAGTGGTTACTGAGTGGCTGATGGGCATCAGCCTTGGTTCATTGCACCACAGGTATCGGATTGTATAGAGAGATCTCAAATGCCCTGGATGCAGCAGAAACTATAAAAAGGCAACAAGTCCAAGGCATTTGTGGGCTTTTTGCCAACAGGGATCACATGGAAATGTATGTTTGTTACCTTGCTTTTGGAGACGTGCTGATACTGAGACATTTTATTCTGAAAAAGCATTTTTCACAATGCTTAGATTCATCCATGAAATAAACTTTATCCCTTCGGAGGAGCAGTTATCAATTACGAAGGTAATCCTCCAGTGATGCAAACTGAGAAGGCTCCGTAACACTTGCTCTGCAGCATTTATTGCTTATTCTGGGCCAGTCTTTTGCAGACAGCCAATATCATAATTCTTAATTTAACCACATCAGCATGTCTTAAACCTGTCTTAAGCTATAACTGTTCTGAAATCCTTTGCTGTTGATAAATTTCTCATCCTGCTGTCCATAAGCAATCTTAGTATCTTTTTCTGTTACATTCACATTCAGTTCGAATCAGATAATAAAAGTAAAACATCTCATGCAATATGTGAAAACAGCTCTTTCCAGACAATTCAGAAACGCTCTGCCAAGTACTTTGAGGCTGTTCTGGTAAACACATAAAAGTTATTAATCCAAGAACTCTCGATAAACTGCCACTAAAATAAGGAGAGAAGCACTTTTCTTTGCATTATTCTTGGTGCTAAAGTGCAGGAATCCAGCAGCAGGTCTGTGCTTTGGTGTGGTCCCTGTTACACGAGCACTCTGATGCTGGGCCAGGGCAAGTTCCCATTCATCAAGGAGCATGCATTAGGCTTTTGTAAAGTTCTAAGTGCTATGGAAGGTGAAATCCTCCTGGCTACATCCTTACCATGTTTGGGTCAGTATGTTCCAGTGGTTTCTAACTGATGACATCGTCAGCAAGTAGAGACCTGGGCACAGCGTGATATGAAGACACTTACAATATACAACAGCCAAATGCCAAATTCTCCATCCAGTGTTGTGAGGAAGGCTTGTGTACACAAGCAGGGCTGTGTGTAACCATGGTATTAACATATATAGAACAGATGATATGATTTTGGCTGTCTGGTCTAATTCCTTGCCAAGTTTCCAGTAGATTAATCATGATCTAATTTGAAATAATTGAATCAGGTTGTTGGTTGGTTTGTTTGTTTTGGTTTGGTTTGGGTTTTTTTTGGTTTTTTTTTAGAACTGCTTGTTCATCTCCAGGGCTATGTATGCCACCACTGCAATCATAGCTAGAATATTTTTTATAATAATCTATAATTTTAAGTGATCAAAATTACAAAATCCTCAGTAAACTAAAGTCACCAAAGCAGGTTACTAACTGGTCATCTTGAACTCTATCCCAACAGTTGTTCTCTAAGTTGATGTGCAACCATGGGGCTAAACTTGTGAGCTTTTATAAAGCTAGTGTGTAGAGCTTAAATCCAGAATTGTATATAGAATTCATTTTTCTAAATCCATGTTACATCTTCCATCAGATTCATGGTTGAGGAAGCTTCTTGACCTAAAAGCACTGAAAAATTAGATTTGATTTTCTAGAGTAGTTGTTTATTACTTTAAACCAATACACAAACTAAACACAGACAATATGAGATTGTGGAAAGATGGAAAGTGTGGGTTGAGTCGACATGTAGGGACTTATGTTTTATATTTGGTTTGTTTTTTTAGAAAATATTAGGTTCTTGACTTCTGCTCTATTAAAAAAACAAAATAATTGCACATGGTGGAAATTTATAATCCAGACCTTATTCTGCATTTCTTGTACAAATTCCTTGTGAGTTTTAGCACAAATAATAAATGAAATGCAAGAATTGAACTACCCACTTTTCTAAGGTCAATTGCTTCAACTATCTTCAAGTCTAAACAACCATGATATAAATCTTTCTAATGAATGGACATATGACATAAGCAGAAGTGCAAGGTTAGAGCTTTAATTTAAAACTAAAGGAGCTCCCTGGCTTCAGCTAGGGAGAGCCTGGGTTTTGTTAATCAGATTTTTCTCATATTCTCAAAATTGTATTTGTATTCAGTTTCATTTGAATATGTTTTTGATTTGTCCAAACAGCAGATGGCTATCATAAAGAGTCTGTATTTAACTTGGCACTTTCCATTCCACATTCCTTTACTATTCATAGCACAGAAGTCATACTCATCTCCAGTATACAGAAAAGGAGGCAGTTCAACTTGCAGCTGCAGATCTCTTCAAATGTTTGAGTATTTACAAACTTACTTACAGCATTATTTTTTTTTTTAAATTGAGAAGACCAGATACTAGATATAGTACATGGATTTAAAAAAAAAAAAAAAATTACCACTCATGAAATAAGAGAAAAACTGAGACAGAAGTTAAACTGGTGTCTGTAGTAAGGAACCTCTGCACTTAAAATTAGATTAATGTAGAGCCCATGTTGGTACAGGGAGAGTGGAACTATACATAGGCAGAAAAATTTGTTCTTGAAGACACAAACTGTCAAGCAACATGAAGAATAAAATATTAATCTGATTGAAAAACAAGACTGCCTAATATATATAAGAATAAAGGCATTTGTGCTAGTGTAATGCCTTTTTATTACTGGGGCTTCACAAGGAAGAATTTGACACTTTTGGGTAATTGTAAACAATATATATTTTTTTCAGTTCCTAATAGATAGCAGAATATGTTAAATAAAACCAATTTTCTAAACATCTTCCAAAGTTTTCTTTCAAATTAATTGGTCTTTGACAAAAAGTATCATTTCTCTTTACTGTGTTTTCAAGCAAATATAGTCAGTGAGTAGTCCTTTTTCTTACAGTTTCAAACATGCAAAACACTTCTAAAAAGTAATCTCTCAAGGGGTTTTTTGTATACAAGCTTGAACTGTGGATATAGTGGGGGGGTTTTGTTTTTGTTTTTTCTTGGTAGCATCCTTCAATTTATGTGCTTTTCCAGAGCTTAAGGAAGAAGAATTTAATCTCAAAATTTAGAAAGCAGGATTTTTGGTACATAAATTAAATTTCCACAAGACTCACAACCTATTACTTTAATAATTATGACTACGTATAACAAATGCTTATTCTTTAGAAATACAATGCCTCCTACTGAACTCATAAATGTGCTTTATTTTCAATATATTATCAAATACATTTTTTTTTCCTTTTGTTTTGACTAGCCTAAATTTTCTACTATTCAGAAAGCTTGGCTTTCCAACACACATGTAGCTGGAGGCAAGCAGTCTAGCATTACACATCAAAAAATAAAGTCAGCATACTAAAAACATGTATACAAAGAGTTTCCTTTACTGTAATATACACACAGCCACATGCTTAGTACACTTTACAGCATTGCTTGAATGGTATTATTTTTTTATATTAAGAATTATTTTATCTCACCAATAAACTATGGACAAGACTCTAATTATTGCCCACTGAGTTCTTCATTTCAACAACCAAAATGCCGTCATGGCAGAAAAGCGCAGACAAGTCTTTGTTCTCCACTCCATTAGGTAATTTGTATTGTCTGGTAAAGCTTCTGGATACAAAACCGTGTTCGTCCATCCTGGGTCCGTGCTGAGCTTTGATCAGGAGCCAGCCTTCAAAAGTCTGAATGATGATATCTTCGGGGCGGAACTGCACAACGTCCAGCAAGACCTGAAAGCCTGTGTTTTCGTCCTCGGGGCCACCCTTCCCAGCCCCAGCAGTACTTTCTGCGATGCAGCTTCTGGTGCTCGTTGCAGCTGTAGAAGGGCCCGGCAAAGCATATAGAAAGTGGTCCAGTCTGCGTGCTTGCAGCTCCTGGACATCAAACTGCTCCTGGTAGCGTACGGGAGTTTCCACCCAGTGTCTTATGACAGCTTCTGCCATTGCTGAGGCAGAAGGAGAAGTTGCTGCTCCTGTGAAGCTGCAGAGTCAGAGCAAACTCTTGCCAGTTGTATGCCTTACTCACAGACTAGTTTATCAGTTGATGTCGGCTTTCACTTTTAGCACAGGCAGAGCATAACATTTAATAGGGTGTGCTGTGCTCCAGTGCCAGGAGACTTGTTTCATCTTCTATCCACTAACAATAGAGCACTATTTATAGCGCTGGGGTCTTGAGTGGCTTCGACATGTGCACAGCTTTCATGCATAAGTAGTAAAAGCAAAATTTTAATGCAGCTCTGATTATTCCAATATTGAGCTGTTTGTTGTTATGAATAATGAGCAGACAAATAACGTGAAAGATTTTTTGCTTTAAATGGAAATTTAATTATTCTGTCTTTCCAAGGGATACATGGCAAAAGATACAAAGTCTGTATTTCTTCTAACTGAAATACAGATTTACTGAGGGAAGGGATTTAATTAGCTTGAGAAAGTAGGAATGGAGCAGATTTCAGGTTAGGTAAACTATAAAATTGTCAAGTGCATTAGATGTTGCAGAAGTTGTGCATAGGTGACATAAAGACACAGTTAACCATGTTGTTGTTGGGAGGAGGGAATTGTAACCATCCCTGCCCAAAGAAGGGGTGCCTGGAGGGCTGACCCTGCAATTTTCGTGACCTATAGACACAGCAGAGCCTTCTCCAGTGTGTCACAGAATCAGACTCAAGAGTGTGGAGAGAATTACAGTGAAAGCTCATGTTTCACAGCTCCCAGGAGAGGGCAGAGTTATTTTTCCCCAGCAGAACTGTAAAGACAACTACAACTACAAATCCTCAGTGCTATCACATTGTCCCTTCATCTTCTATGTGTGCTATCACATGTAACCTTCATCTTCTGGGGCTTAACAGCTTGAATCCATGATCCCATCTACTGCATGTGGCCAGGGAGCAGGACTGATGACCTTAAAGGCTTTCTGTGGTGTAATCTTCTTGCTAGTCTGTGATCCAGGGCAAATAATCACAGAATGTTAGGGATTGGAAG